TAGCCCGCGACATGTCAGAGAAGCGGCCGTTGGCGCCCGTCGCTGGAGCAGCGTCAGTGCATGCATTCGCCAGGGCACACCGCCGCAATGACGATAAGACGATCGATAGGCCAGCGACGGCCGGTGTAATGGGGGAGGGAGTCAGGAGAGCGCGGGTCGTCATCTGAGTTGGATCTCGCGCTGCGTGCTCGGCGCTCTCCACGATCGGGGCCTCGTTGCCCTCACTCATCGCTCTTCCTCCCGTCCTCGTCGTCCTCCACAGCGAGCTCCCGCTTTCCTCTTTCCACCGCTCAGAGGGCCGCATCCACGCCCATACCCGCCGCTGTCCTGCGCTTGTTACATGTCAGAACCCGAAACACTAGCCTACATGACCGGCACAAACGAGGACTTCGATCTCCCCCGTTGGCACACCCAGTCCATGCACGACAACCTCTCCTCTTCGGCGCAGGCGGCCCAGTCGGCGGCACAGGCGTCGTACATCTATCCCCAGGGCCCGCCACCACAAGCACCGAATCGTCTGCCGCCCATCCACCAGCCGCCTTCAAGCTCTTCAAGGCAGCCCCGCATCAACCAGCTCCTCGATGAAGATCAGCAGTACAGTCTCAACACATCCCCGTACTCCACTGGTGGACTGGCGCGCAGTCTCTCGCTGGGAAACTCGTCGAACGCTTCGTCGAGGGGACGCCGGCATCATCTTCAAGATGACCTGGAGGGTGCGTTCCATGTAGACGGCGACACGAGCCAGAGACACACTCCGCAATCACTCTATCCGCCGCCCATTGCCTACCCCGGTGCTCCGCAGGGTGGAGGAAACAACGCGGCCGGGTCTACGGGTGCTGCTGATCCGTATCAGGATGCCTATTACGCCGGTCCTACGATCCACACGCCCAAGAGAAGCCAAACGCAGCACGACTCTAGCTCGTCGCGGGCCCCCCGGTCCCCGCATAGGGCTCCGCAATCCAACAATCTGCTCGACCCGTATTCGCCACAGCAGTACTCCTCGCCGTCATCGAACTCTTACCCGTACTCGCCCACGACGGAGCAGAAACCGTTCATCGGAGGTGCGTATCAGACAGGCGAGCAGAAGCCGTTTGCGGGGGGTGGCTACCAGACGACGGACCAGAAACCGTTCGCCACGAGCGGTTACCAATCACAAACCCATTCGCGCTCGCACTCGCAGGTCAAGCGGGAGGCGGTCTCGCCGCAGTACCC